GCAGGATCAGGATGGCATTCTCCAGCTCCTGCTCTCCTCTGGGGATATCTGGGCATATCCCAAAGAAAGATGGGATCGTTGGGGATGGGGGTTAGTTTCTAGACTAAAGGCCATGCACAATGGCACGATGTCCTGGGTGTTTGTAAACCAAAGCCCCACTGCTGTCCTTGTCCTTTCTTCCGCCAGGAGTAGAGAACTTTCTGTCTTGTACTTGGTGACTACCTCTGTGAACTTGAAGTTGGTCTTCAAATTCTACCCCACTTCCTGTTTCTCTTTGCATTGCTTGCCCAAGCCCTAAAACCTTCCTTGGTGATTCTGCTTAGTATGATTCCCAGTGCTCTAAGGGTGGGGCTGGCTGGGGTGCCCCAGTCCAGACTCCTTCCTCTTTGCAGTCCATCTGTGAAGTCAAGTGTCATCATCCCTGGGGGGGGGGGGGGGGGGGCAAACTTCATCCTAATCCTCCTGGTATTTGCTGGGGAGCTTCACGGCCACAAACCTTCTGAGACATAAGGCGCCTACCTTGTCAGTCTTTGTCCATCCCATTAGTCCTAAAAATGCATGCTTGACACTATTGTTATCACCTATAGAATTGCGAACTATCTCTGTATGTGTATGTAAACTAAAACCTTGTTGGATGGGTAGAACAGTGAAGAGGAACAGTGAGGAACATTGAAAGGGAAAAATCAAGAGAGCATTAGAGAGAGCATAAAAGAATAAACGAGACATGATAAAAAGATTTAGTGAGCTAATTTTATTTACCCTCATATCTTTAGCCAATTTTTGCCTGCTATAGCAATCCCACTGAATCCTGAGAAGTTTAGTGGGGCTTAACCCTAACCTAAACCTCAATGATTTTTAAAATGTATATGCTTCTGAGTGTGTGTGTGGATATGTGCAGATGAATGAAGGTTCCTGTAGAGGTTGGAAGGAGCTGTAATCCACTGTAGCTGGAGATAATGGGTGCTGGGAGCTGAACTTCAACCCTGGTCCCTGGAAGCAAGAGCAGCGGGTGCTCTCCAGAACCTGCCTTGTTTTCTGGGACAAAGTTTCCCACCTGGGGCTGAGAGTCTGGGGCTCATCAGTTAGGCTAAGCTAGGTGGCCGCCTGTCATTCCCTCCCCAGTAATGGGGTTACAAGCACATGCCACCATTGTTAACATCTGAACTCACATCTGCATGCTAACAAGGCAAGCACTTTGCTGACTGAGTTATCTCCAGTCCCCTGCAAAAGATTGTTATTTTATGATATGTGTTGCTGACACCTTCCTCTCCTGGGCTACTTTTTTGTCTAAGCCACACCTCCTAATAGTGCCACTCCTTATGAGCTTTCGGGGCCAATTACATTCAAACTACTACACTCTTTAACCCAGTCTGGGACCCCAGCACATAGGATGAGGTTTCTCACATTCAGGGTGGGTTTTCCCTTATTAGTTAAATCTCTGGAAACACCCGCACAGATGTAGCCATGAGTGTGTCTCCATGTGTTTCAAGTCCTGCAGGCTGACTGTGAAGACCAACTACTGCTGTCCACTAAGGATGGGAGGCTTTTATGCTCCAGAAGCTCCATGAATGCTGTTCCCCGAAGTATCAGGACCCATTACCACCCGAGATGCAACCCCAACGGTTACCATGCTTTTCTTGAACTTCATGTAAATTCAGTTGTAGTTCTTTTATGTAATGTCTTTCACTCCACGTTATGTTTAAGGCTACGTGTGAGGTAACTTTACTGGAAATAAGAAGGGTACGTATCAGAACTGATAGAAGGGGGAGTATTCAGATTAAGGTAGAGTCAAAAGCCAGTGGATGGCTGTTTTGTCTTTCTGACCTTCAGGTTGAACCCCCATTTCTGTCTCTGAGTTTTTATTAATCATTCTACACACAGAGGAATGTGTTATGTGAGTGGTGGAAGGTACACCCCAGCCCATTTTTGGATTATCAGACTTTAGCATCCTTAAGGAGCTAAACAAACTTTTGCCTCGCCTGGGTTCTGATCAGTCATAGCTACTGACACTGAAGTTGTGTGTTGTAGCTGTAAGCTGTTCTAAATGAGATGTCAGTAAAATTCAGCTTGCGTAAGTAGGAGCTTTAAAAAGTCTTGACGAACCAGCAGCAGGAGAGGTCTCAGCAGTTCAGAGCACTTGTTGCTCTTACAGAGCATCCTGGTTCAATTCCCAGTATCCACATGGATAACTCCAGTTCTAGGGGATCCAACAACTTCTCTGGTCTCTGCATGCACCAGGCATGCTTGTGGCACATACACATACGTGTAGGCAAAACACCCAAACATATATAACATTTTATTTTAAATCTAAAAAGTCTAATTGCAGAACTCCAAAGAATTGAGACTATATGTTGAATGTAGACATGCTCAGAATGCTCATGGTATGTGGTTGAATGTAGACATGCTCAGAATGCTCATGATATGTCGGCATCGTGGAGTATGTTTGTAGTCACAGCAACATGAGGATGGTCAGGAGCACCAGGGTTAAGGCTACCCGAGGCTGAGCCAGCTTCTGCTGAGGTATGTAAGGAAAAGAGGCCTATTTAGCCACTGTTCAGAGACTCCTTTTTTAGAAGCTGTTCTGTTCAAGGGAATATCCCACACTCCCTCCCCCTTCTTTTCTTTTGACCCAAAGCCTACCACAGTGGACACATTGCTCTAGGCTTTGAGTCCCAGCATAGACTTGCTAAGTGGGCACCTGAAATTTGAAGCCATATTCCAAAATGCCCTTGGGCTGCCTTTTACAAAATTTTTTTAAATTGGGTCTGTCTGACATCATATGTCCTGAACGCCTAGTTTCTCTGTACACTAACCCCTGGCCTCAATATGTCCTTGACAATGAGACCTGATGGCCGCCAGAGGGAACTTTTGAATTTTTCATCCTTTGAAACCTTGACAATGTTTGCCACGCAGGGGGCGAGTAGACAGAACTCCCATTGCCCACGGTTTCTGGGTCTGCCGTCCCACCCTTCCCTCTGCAGCCAGTGTCTCACAGCACCAGTCTTGTTTGCTAGGGTCACGCTGCCTCCAAATTCCCACCTATCTGGAAATTAGGACCCTAAAAACTTCTGCCCTGACCTTACTGCTGGAGACACTGCCCCCTCCAACCCTGTTTACTCAACCCACTCCTAGGGGCCACATGCTCCATTCAATGGCTACCATTCTTCTCATGGTCCCTCTCACTCCCCCAACCCTCTCTGGGACAAATGTCGAGGCCAACTTCCTCCTCCTTACCCACCCCTCCCTTTTATGCCAGAACCTACCTCCTGGTCACCCTCTACACTTTGCACCCCCCACCCTGTTTGTCTGCAGCTCTGCCCCCCCTCTTATTCCTGTCATGTGATCTGATCATGCTGGGATTCTCCCTGCAGGGGACCTGTCCCCAGTGCCTTCCCACTCTGAACTGTATAGGTGTTCCATCCATCCTTGTGTTTCTGTTCTCCCCTACAGCATCTGCTGGCCTGGCCCTCAATGGAACCAACTCTGCTCGCCTGGTTTCTGCAGGCTGGCTCCTGCAGCCTGGTTTCTGCAGGCTGACTCCTGCAGCCTGGTTTCTGCAGCCTGGCTCCTGCAGCCTAGCTCCTGTAGCCTGGCTCCTGCAGCCCGGTTTCTGCAGCCTGGTTTCTGCAGCCTGGTTCCTGCAGCCTGGTTTCTGCTGCCTACTCCAGAATTTTTAAGTTGGTCAGTTGACACAGTTTCCTGGGAAAAGTTTTGTTCATCTGTCTGTTAATTTGTATGTGTAAATAATGTGACCACAGTATGCTTATGTCTGTGTGTATATGAGTGCTTGTTTTAAGATCTGTAAAACTTATAACTTCAGACTACAGTAGCTCTGGAAAAGTATAAACACACAGATAAATAGCCGCCATTTTGAGGTCAAAACAAAAACCTTAGCTCCATCTTTACTAAGGGCACCCATGTGCACTGGCTCCACCAAGGAGACCTTCCTTTCCAATATACTTTGGCTTACAATATATTTCTATATGATAATTCCTGTCCTAAAAAATAAGGTGTATAACAATGCTGATTTACTGAGATATTAAAGACATGCCTCTGCATTCACGTACAGGAATGAATTTTGCAGGCAGCCAGATGTTGTAACTTAAGAGTAACCCCTTGATACTGACTTAAACACTAAATTGCTTACAGTGTTAAAGCTTGGTTCTGCCTTCTACAGATTAGGATTATACTCTAGGTCTCAGGACTACAATTAAAATCTAGAGACTAGGGCTGGAGAGATGGCTCAGCGGTTAAGAGCATTACCTGCTCTTCCAAAGGTCCTGAGTTCAATTCCCAGCACCCACATGGTGGCTCATAACCATCTGTAATGAGGTCTGGTGCCCTCTTCTGGCCTGCAGGCATACACGCAGACAGACTATTGTATACATAATAAATAAATAAATAAATATTTTTAAAAATTAAAAAAAATAAAAACTAGAGACTAAAATATTCCTTCTAATTGTCTCTACTAACATTGGTAAGCTGTAACTGATTGGGCAAACTGTATGTCCAAATTTAACTTAGGTTTAATTTAGTGGTAGGGGAGAAAGGGAAGATAGGACCTAGACAGATAGAACCTGGGCAACAGAAGACCAAAGATGAATGAAGACAGGCAGAGGCGCCCCTTGGACAAAGACTGATGTGCTTATTGCAAAGAAAAAGAAAAAGACTGTGGAGGGGACCCCTGTGGATTTTCTAGAGGACATAGGGGTTGAGCACTCTGTGCTGAAACAATCATCGGGGAAGCTAAAGAATACAAAGACTATAGTAATTGGACAGAAACAATATCTGTGGACCACCTTACAGACTGTAGATTTGGGGAGAGGACAAGTGACCCATTCCTTCCTGTTTATCCCTGAGTGTCCCACGAAATTATTACAAAGAGACTTGTTAACAAAGTTGAAGGCCCAGATCAGGTTGATTAAAGCCTTTTGTTGACTGAACCAGTGACCTTCGCTCCCCCTGCTGTCCTCAATCCCGCTGCCCTACTGCCTGAGACTGATGACTCCTCACCTACCTACCACTGTGCTGACATTTTGGCAGAAGAAGCTGATACCTGAAATGATCTGAAGGATCAGCCTTGGCCAGGGAGTTTGAGCTGGTATATGGATGGCAGCAGTTTCGTGGTTGAAGGTAAGCGAGAAGGCGGGCATAGCCTCCCTGAAGGACGTCGGCCCAGAAAGCCAATTTGTGGCTTTGATACCAGCTCTACGGATGGCAGAGGGGAAGTCTGTCAACATCTACACTGACAGCAGGTGTATATCTGCCACTGCCCATATACACGGGGCAATATACAGACAAAGAGGACTATTAACATCTGCAGAAAAAATACATAAAAAATAAAAAAGAAATTTTGAGCCTCCACAAGGCCATACATTTGCCAAAGAAGGTAGCCATCATACATTGTCCAGGACACCAAAAAGCTCGAGATGCTATGGCTAAAGGAAATCAGATGGCAGACCTAGCTGCTAAATAGGTAGCCCAAGGAGCAATGATCCTGGTAGTCAAAAGAGCCTAAAGATTATCATGATATCAGTGAAACCAACTTTAGATACACCCCCCCCCCAGGACTATCAAATTAGGACTGGTAAAGTGGTGCGGGAGAATTGTCTATAATCTGTCAATCATGTTTTAAATAAACACTGATTGGTCAGGCAGGAAATATAGGCGGGAAAACCAGACAGAAAGTAGAAATGATACAAGGGGAACAGGAGAATTCTGGGAAGGAGGAAGTTGATTCCCCCCACTCCTGCCCAGATCACTGAAGCAGCAGGATGTGATCTGCCCCACTGAAAAAGGTACTGAGCCACATGGCTAACATAGATCAGAAAAATGGGTTAATCAAGATGTGAGAGTTAGCCAGTGAGAGGCTAGAGCTAATGGGCCAATCCGCTTTTATGGAGACTTATGTGTGATTTTCTTTGGGGCTAAACAGTTGTGGGGTACCGGGCAAGACAAAAAACCCCAACAAACAAAGCAGCCTGACCCCCCCATGTTACACTAAAGAAAACTTCATATGGGGCAGTAGGGACAGAAATAGGAAAACTAGTCCTCCCACAAAAAGAAGGGCATAAGTATGTTACCAACCTACACTACCTGACCCACTTGGGGGCCAAGAAACTAAAAGATGTGGTTAGGTCCTCTGACTATTATGTTATAGAACTCTCTGACTTGGCAGAAGAAGTAGTCAAAAGCTGCAAGGCCTGTGCTATAACTAATGCAGAACACTCCATATATACTCCTGGGAAGAGGCTCAGGGGTAACTGGCCTGGGGCCTACTGGGAAATAGATTTTACAGAAATTAAGCCAGCCAGATATGGTAACAAGTACTTATTAGTTTTTATAGATATCCTTTCAGGCTGGGTAGAAGCTTTTCCTACCAGGACTGAGACAGCCAATGTGGTGGCTAAGAAAATCATATAAGAAATCTTCCCAAGGTTTGGGATACCCAAGGTAATCAGGTCTGATAATGGACCTGCCTTTGTTGCCCAGGTAAGTCAAGGACTGGCCACCCAGTTGGGGATCAATTAAAAATTACATTGTGCTTACCGACCCCAGAGTCAGGTCAGGTAGAAAGGATGAATAGAATTCTAAAAGAGACCTTTACAAAATTGGTGCATGGGCCGGGAAGAGACCTGTGGGAATGACTGGACAGCCCTCCTTCCCTTTGCCCTGTTTCAGGTTTGGAACACCCCAGGGCGATTTAAACTCACCCCTTATGAGATCTTATGAGGAGAACCGCCACCATTCACTGAATTGGGTGGAATGTATAATCCTGATCCTATTCTTTCTAGATCTTTATTTTTCCCGTCTAAAGGCCCTTGAAATGGTGAGACACCAGATCTGGGAACAACTGGAAGAAGTATGCATCTCTACCTGGATCCATGCCTCTCACGTGAAGCGAGCTCCTGGACTACCCAAATTATAGTACCAAATTATAGTATGGGGCTTTTGACAACACTACCAGCCAAGAGGCTTGAGTTTGGGGGACTAATCATAGGCTGACTCTTACTGAGGTTATGTAATGAGACTCTTAAGAGCCCTAGGACTCCTGACACCAGGTTCTTGGTTCCTGGTTTAGATAAATGGTGGGCTTGTAATACAGGCCTGACACCTTGCATCCGACATCAGTTTTTAATGACACCAAAGATTACTTACTGTGTGCTTGTATAACTGGTACCTAGGGTCTTTTATCATCCAGCTAACAAGCTTGAAAATTAGTTTGACAAGCACCCAACTCACTTTTGACAGGAACCTATTTCTCTGACATTAGCAGTAATCCTGGTCCTCGGGGTAGCTGCCCTAATACAGGCCCCTCAGTACTTTAATGAATTAAAACTAATTACCTTCATTAGAGAAGGAATAAGTGCTGTTCAGATTTTGATGTTATGCTACCAATAGAGTGTTTTACAAGGTCAAGAAGATACTGAAATCTAGTTCTACGATTAGAACTAGGTACTAGAAGAAGTGGGGAGATGAAAGACCTGGATAGGGCAGTGGTGGCGCACGCCTTTAATCCCAGCACTCGGGAGGCAGAGGCAAGCCTGGTCTACAAGAGCTAGTTCCAGGACAGGCTCCAAAACCACAGAGAAACCCTGTCTCGAAAAACCAAAATAAATAAATAAATAAATAAATAAATAAATAAATAAATAAATAAAAAAGAAAGAAAGACCTGGATAAATCCAAACCCCCATAGCAGGAAAAAATAGAGCCAAAAATCTAAGCAGGGAGGAAAGAATCAGAAATTTAGGATTAGCTGTTTCAGTTTCAGGAACTAGCTGATGATAAAGTTAGATTGTAATCTTGAGTATAATCTTGAGAAACAGGGAGTTGCCCTCTTGTGATTTGCATTGGTATTTTTGGAATTTTCTATGATGCCCTCCCCACCCCCTTGGGATTACTGGGCTGTGGTTTTTTCCCTTAAAAACCCCTTCTTCCAGTTACTCGGGGTCGAACTCCTCCCCTGCGTGGGTTTTGAGTCTCGGCCCCAGTGCACTGGTTCCCGTCCTGTCAAATAAACCTCGTGTGATTGCAGCAAGGACGGTCTCTCATGAGTTACTGCGGGGGGGAGGGGGTCATGTTATCCCGAGACTTGAGTGAGAGTCTCCCCACACCAGGAGTCTTTCAAAACCAAAGCTCCCAGCTCCCAGGGGTCTTCTCTAGATTCTTGATGTCCCTGCTATAAATGTTTCTTATACTCTAGTTCTGCAAACTGATCAGCTATTTCAGAAGAGAAAGTTAGTTGGCAAAGAGCTGACTGGCCAGGAACAGCACCAACAATAACAGAAACTAGGAACTTTCTGTTTTCAATGTCTTTAATGGCTACCCCAGGAAATTTTGTTTAAATAGAAAACTTTGGGAATGTTCACAAGTGTTCCCCCACAGTAGAACTAATAATAGCATAACTCTGTAAGTGAAATGAAAATTAAGATCTACTAAGGATCTGAAAATTCAATCTATTTACCAACAGAATTGAAATACTCTGAAATTTTATTCTATTCAAAAATCACACAGGGGCCAGTGAAATGGCGCAGTGGGAAAGACACCTCTGCCAAGCTTGAGGACCCACGTTTGGTTCCCAGAACCTACACAGCGGAAGGAGACGACTCCTGCACATTGCTCCCCAACTTCCAAGAGCACAGCGGCTTTTACAAACAATAAACATAAAAATAAGGTTTAAAAACCACAGAAATAACACCTGAATTTTTTAAAGAAAGAAAAAAAAGCAACAGGCAATTTGGGAAGTGTGTTAACTTTATTTGAAGTATAACATGGAATGTGTTGTCAAACAAATGGATATAGGGGCAGACTTCTGTAGTGCAGTTAAACAGATTATTTGCATAGGAACTGCTCATGTTAAGTCTTTGGATAAAGAGTTGATTGTTAATGAGACTAATATAATGTAAGAGTCCTTTACACATGTGCAAACTGAAGCGTGGTTCCTGAATAACAGATGTTTGCACGTGTGCAAACTGAAGTGTGGTTCCTGAATAACAGATGTTTGCACGTGTGCAAACTGAAATAACAGATGTTTACACGTTTGCAAATGAAGTGTGGTTCCTGAAATAACGGATGTTTACACGTTTGCAAACTGAAGCGTGGTTCCTAAATAACAGATGTTTACACATGTGCAAACTGAAGTGTGGTTCCTGAAATAATAGACGTTTTATTCAGTCTTTGGTACATTCTTAATGACGTTTTCTCTACCATGGATAACATAATTGCATCTAGATCAAATGCTAATCCAGACACCTTTTTCCTGCAGTACAGAGGTCTTTATTAAGTATTGCTAAACATACTGAACTAATTAAATGGCCCCAGAATAGTTCATATGAGGGACATGTTTTAGTGAAAAACATGAAATTCCTGATACTGTTTTTTTGGCATTTTAATGTTGGTACCTACTCTATTCCCTTGCTTCGGAACAGTGATGAACAACTGGTTCTGGCGCAGGGCTGAATAAAAGGCAAAGCACTTAAGTCCACGTTATTTTCTTCTCAAATGACAACATTTTAAAATTCCTATGGGGAATGAGTATTTGCATAACTTTGCTGAATAAGGGGCTGTCAGTGAGGAAGCTGGCACTGATCTTTAGCTACCAAAATATTTGTGTCTGGTGTTCTGGCAATGCACAGCTTTCTGATCTTTTATTTCAAAATTAGACGGGATTTTGCAGAGCCCACCGGGCTCGGCACTTTTCTGAGAGCTGGGTGCTGTTTGTGACTGGCGTTGTTAGCCATGTTTATCAAGCTCTCTTCATTCTGAGTGCATTTATCATAATTTTAAGAGACTGTCTTCTAATTTCAAGAGTTTCATTCTGGCATTTTCTGACTTAAAGGCTCCTGCATGTTACTAAAGCAGAACTAATTTAGAATTACTTTCCCCTCCATCTTAACACGGCTTCACACAGAGACTGTCACTTGGAAACTGGAGCATAACATGAGCAAGAACACTGGATATGTGTTTAAACACGAGAAGCACTGCTAGTGTTTCATATGGTGGGTCCCAGAACGCTTGATCTCTGTGTGTGCAGTTAGACACCATTGAGAGAGCACTGAACATCAGCTTTAGAGCCCCTCAGAGAAACCATCAGTGAACTTGGGGTTCCTTCTTAGAACCAGAACACCCATGAGCATGCACACTGAACATCTTTAAATACGAACAATACCTTTTACTAGGGGTACTTTCCAAGTGGTAACGGTAACAGCAACAGTCCTTATGTGTGTCATGCTTCGTCCAGTGAGCTCAGCGTCAGTGTGTCAGGGCTGCAGCTGGAAGCCAGATTCCGCAGCCCAGTGCGTCCTCACTTGTGGCACAGGGGATGACTGACTCCAGGCAACAACCAAAATCAAAGCTCAAAGAAACTTGTGCTTCGCAGCCTTTGGGGGTTTCAGGTTTCCACTGGTTTCCTCATATCGACAGTGTCAACTAAGAGACGGCAACCTTCTATGTCATGAATAAGACGAGGCTTCACCAACAGCTGTAATTTACCTTTTCTGTGTGTTATTGGCTCGTCTTTGAGTGACACACAGTGGAATGTCAGAAGTGGATCTTACATAATGAATGCTTAGGTCACGAGAATCATGGGTATGATCTTCAGGTGATAGAAAATATTTTATACTGAAGGAGAATACATAACTATGATAGATGCAATGTATTTTAGTATAGCTACATTTAACACAAAAGCAAAAATGCGTTCATTCAATGAAGGGTGATCTTTGACTCTTACAGAGCAAAGCCATTTGTCGGCCTTTTCATCATGAAAACCGTGTCAAACATGTTTAACTGAGGGACTCACAGTAGCATAGTTGTAATAAGTTCTGTAGCATCTGTGAATATCCATGTCCCCAAGGGCCGCGTTACAGGGCTGTGTGAGACGCCCACTGTAAGTAGGTGAGGGGAAGTGGACCCTCAGCCCTTCCTTGAGTTAGTGCACAATGCACAAACCCACAGGGTGGACATTCTTTCTTCAAAGAATTTCCAACATTGTTAAAACCTGTTTCTTTCCAGACAATGTGGCTTGACTTTCTATCTGTCTAAGCTGGAACCAAATTCGTTCTTGCCAGGTCCTTCTTTGCTTCTCAAGAGGTGCAGTATGCGTTCATTTTTGGTTAGTTCTGCTGGAAGCTCATTGGCCTGAAAGAAGACGAGATGGGCATTATGGTGTGGTTTCCGGGACTCAAAGGAGGCAGGTGACCCCACACTTGCCCTTCACTAGCCGAAAAACCTCCACTGGGGCCTCCTTTTAATGTGGAAATGGTACCTGCTCTTTTCTCACCTCAACGTTAACTTTGTACTTAGCAAATCTTTACTATACTAGAGGCTCCCGAGGGCAAGGCCTATGTCTTACAAGTCATTGCCGCCACTTTCAGCACAGTGCCCAGCACATCTCACACTTGGTGAATGAATACAGGTATTTGATTTTTTTATATTCAGTATATTGAGGTGATTTGTAGGATAGGGAGGACTCAAGACAGAGATTTTTTTCTGGCCACATTTCAATTTATTCATTATAACTTTTTTCTTATTTTAAAAATTACTTTGTGTGTGTGTGCGCTTGTGCATGCACGCACAGCCAAGTGCATGCCACAGTGGCTTGCGGAGGAGTCAGTTTTCTCCTTCCACGGCTTGAGTTCCAGGCCTTGAACTTAGGTCATCAGACTTATTGGCAAGCACCTTTGCCTACCTAGCCACCTCTCTGGCCCCTCACTAATTATTTTCATTTGTACATATTTATATATTTATGGGGTACAGTGTGATAATTGATACACAGATATGAAATATGATGATTGAATCAGAGTGGTTGGCACCTCCATTTCCTTGAATATTCATTGTTACTTTGTTCAGGGCTCTGAACATCTCTTAGTTCTTTATAAAACACACAGTAAATCATTGAAAATGCCATCACCTGCTGACTATAATTTATTTCTTCCACTAACTGTTTTGGTATCTGATATCCAACCTGTCTTGACTCTCACCCTCCTCCTAGCTCTGAGCTCTCTATGATGTGGGAGTGATTTCTTAATAATAAAGAAACTGCCTCGGCCCTCATAGGACAGAAAATTAGGTAGGCGGAGTAGACAGAAGAGAATTCTGGGAAAAAGAAGCTGAGTGAGTGAGTCGCCATGATGCTCCCACTCCAGACAGACGCAGGTTAAGATCCTCTCTGGTAAGCCAGCTCATGGGCTACACAGAATATTAGAAATGGGTTAGAACAATATGTAAGAGCTAGCCAATAAGAAACTGGACCTAGCCGGGCCAGGCAGTGTTTGAAAGAATACAGTTTCCGTGTAATTATTTCTGGGTATAAGCTAGCCATGCGGGCGGCCGGGTGCCAGGGACGCAGCCCCGCCGCTCCTATTTCAACATCTCTAGACCATCTTTATTCTCTTCCTCCATGACACAAACCAGCTTTCCAGCTTCCATATGTAAGGAGGAGCTGCAATCCAACAGGGCCTCGTCTGGAGGGAAACAGCCAGGAAGCATGGAGCCTAAGGCACACCCAGGAAGCCGCAGTTTCTGTGGCTACAACTTCCTACAGGACCTTGTTATCACTCTGCTGGTCACTGTGTCCCCTGATGAGACACATCAGTAAGCATTTAGGGAGCTAGTTTCTTCCACAGGCATTGTGTGTTATAAAGAAAATAATTCTTAGCCTGGCAATGGTGGCACACGCCTTTAATCCCAGCACTTAGGAAGCAGAGGCAGGCAGAGGTAGGCAGATCTCTGTGAGTTTGAGGCCAGCCTGGTCTACAAAGTGAGTTCAAGACAGCCAGTGCTACACAGAGAAACCCTGTCTCAAGAAACAAACAAACGAACAAAAAAAGAAAAGAAAAGAATTCTTGAACTATGATTTCAGGACTCATTTTATAGTATTAAAAACTATAGAGCACTTGTATATTTTTAACTTAAACAAAAGCAGAAAAAAATATTTCCTAGTTAATGAAAAATAATAATTCTACTACAGGTTGGTAGACAAAATATATTTCTAAAAAA